TTAAACTTGTTAGCTGTCACATGGTCAATTATATTTTTTAATTGACTTGATTAAAATTTCAATTTATTTAATTAAGGATTTATCTCAGTGCAAACACTTAATTAATATAAACTCATTTTGATAGTTCGTTGATTTTAAATAAAGTAATGTACTTGAATCAAGCAAACAGTTTAATAAATTTAATCAAACGACTGCATTTTGATTTAATTAAACTAGTTTCATAGATTCAAGTAAATTGTTAATCAAACTAATTAAACTTGTTAGCTGTCAGATGATCAATTGTATTTTTCGATTGGTTTAATTAAAATTTCAAACGGTTTATTTGAGGATTTATGTCGGTGCAAAGAGTTATATAAACCATTTTAATAGTTCGTTGATTTTAAATAAATTGGTGTGCTTGGTCCAAGTAAAGGGTTTAATAAATTTAATTAGTCAAGTTTCATAGATTCAAGTAAACTGTTAATCAAACTAATTAAACTTGTTAGCTGTCACATGGTCAATTATATTTTTTAATTGACTTGATTAAAATTTCAATTTATTTAATTAAGGATTTATCTCAGTGCAAACACTTAATTAATATAAACTCATTTTGATAGTTCGTTGATTTTAAATAAAGTAATGTACTTGAATCAAGCAAACAGTTTAATAAATTTAATCAAACGACTGCATTTTGATTTAATTAAACTAGTTTCATAGATTCAAGTAAACTGTTAATCAAACTAATTAAACTTGTTAGCTGTCACATGGTCAATTATATTTTTTGATTGGCTTAAATAAAATTTCAATTGGTTCAATTAAGGATTTATCTCAGTGCAAGCACAAAACGTATATGCTTCTCAGCTTTAGGGGGTAGGTAAGTTTGTATGATCCTACATTTTGTAGACTTTAATTTTTGATTAATTACTTGACTGTTGCGTATCATGAGACATGAGCAATTTTTCTACGTTTAGTCGGAATTCATATTCCTTATAGTGTGTAAGAATGATCAAGTAAACGACTTGATCCATTTTTGTACACTATTTTGTAACAAAGCAATCCTCCGACGGGAAATTATCTTTTTTTATGAATCGAATTATCTTCAATTAGAGCAGAAAGCACTGACTCCGACCAATTATCATAATAATAATAAATAACGACAAAGAGTGGACAGCAACAATGAGATGTGTCGTATAAGGCGCGTTGGTGATGAAACAAAAAGAAAAACCGTTGGTGTTCTTCATACATCCATCTGAGTTCCGCCTAGTGAAGATGAAGTATTCTTCATTCTTCGAGGGAGAGAAGATTTCGTTAATGAGCGTCGTTTCGTTTCGTCGTCACGCATTTTGAGCAACGCCTGGCGTATGTTGTGTCTTTCATAACAAAGCTGCTTCGTCTCTATAAGTTTATTGTGACTGTTTTTATATACAGGGTGATCCGAAATGGACTCTCACCGTTGGAATATCGAAAATGGTAAAAAATACAACGTCGGTTAATTGTAGGCAAAGGTAATTAAGAAAAGGTTTTGTCCAGCATTCCCGAAAATTTTCTCAAAACCATCTTCATTTTGAGGTGACATTTCAAAGCAAATTGCACACTACCATTGCTACTTTTTCTTAGAATTGTACAAAAAAATGTAGCGGTTGAAAAATGAAGGTTAGTGTTATCTCCACGTGACATCTCAGCCGTTGATTCGCATTGCTCAAAATGTGTGCATCGGTTTAGGTATGGCGGATACGAAAAATGTGCAGCAACCTGCAACGCCGTCGAGGCTTTTACTTATCCTAAAGCGTCGCTGTCGGATTCTTAAAATTACGCGGACCACCCACGACGAATAAAACAGTGTTTGCTGTAAATTGTTGACCCTGTATAAGGTGTACATATGTTCATATAAAATGATTTAGTTGGGCAACGCGTGCATCACTTTTGATTTTTTAATTGAGCCTAATGGAGATCGCTATCGCAGCATGCGTTGTTACGTAAAACATCTAATTAGGGAGTAAAAGCGAGATCAAGAGGCATTAGTTCGGGCATTAGATTTGGCGTTAGCTATAGTTTCAGTTGGTGAAGTGGCCTCGGATGAGCTGTCGCCTTTCTGCCGGTGCGAAATTAAATTGTCATTTAGTTCTTCTCTCCACGACGTATCGTTTTAAACTTAGTTTTTATAAATTCGCAGATAGAAGCTCTCTCTGCAGAATATCTTTTGAACGTGCAAAAAAGTTAAAGGCTAGATGCTTTCAATATTTTTTCATGGTCCATCTATCATCATTTTATGAAGATTATAGGGCGGACTTTGAAATAAAAGTCCTACATTCACGGGCTACAGCTTAAACGTTCAAACCTTGATTTTTAACGTTTCATGTCAGTATATTCCTCTCGCAACTGGGACCTTGAATGGCGAAAAGTTACATCATCATGTAGAAGGTTAGTAACATATTCAAGCATGATCAAGATCCGTATAGAAGCAGCAACTTCTAGAAAACGCTGTAATGTTTCTCGACTCGTCGATACGGGAATAAATACCCGACCAGATGGCGGAAGCAGTCTGTCGCAGACGAGTCAATCAACGCGCGGAATTGAGATGGAATATAGACCAGTCGACATAGTAATAAATTAGTTGCAGGTGTTAAATTAGTTACATTCCAACAATCCTCTACTCAGGATATAAGATTTATGGCGCTGCCTTATTTCGATAGGGTGTATTCGTTTTTACGCAGTTTTTCAAATGAACTTTACGGAAGAAGAATTTTTCTTTTGCTTATTCCAGAGCCGATGCTTCATAAAGTTGATAGATCAATGCGTCAGCGTTATTGATTCATATCGTTAGAATCGAACAAAGCATCTGATGCTGCGTGCCAATAGATGTATCATCGTCGGTAAATACTGAAACACGCTTGCTGATAAGAACGGAAACTCAAGAGAAGTACAGCTCACTAAAATATTCCGCATTATTTGTCGATACCTGTACATATTGTAGAATTGATATGTTTTAGTGCAAAAAATTCTAAATATGGACGAGTAAAATAAAGTCAAGTAGGTCCACTCTGCACTTCGTTTTTATAGGAAAAAAATATCTCGTCAGACAATATGCTGCGGTAGACCAAAATGAGGGTCCGTTATCAATTCAGGAAATCTGTTTTGTATGTATGGAAGGTAGGGCCAATTTATCACCTAGTTGGAATTAGCAGATGTACGCCTGCTCGATCTCAGTATGGCATTTCCAGGTGTATTAAACAAACAGGGGGTGGCCGATTATCACCCCTCTTTTGCGTGTATCAATCTTTTTATCCTGTTGGAAACAGATAGATTTATAGATGAATTAATTCGATGTTCTGTGGTTATATTTGTTCGGTATAAAAGCGAGAATGGAATATATAAAACATCTGTTATTATCTTTGGGAAAGTAATCGATTCATTTTGGGACAAAGAAGCCCCCAAAGTGTGTTGCTGGAAAGTTGGAAGTGGAAGTTCGGAAGTTCGGAAATTTGGAACATGTCAGCTATATTATTCTTCTTATACAGCAACAAATAAGAGAATTAACTAGGTTTTTTACAGTTGACGATCTATGGGAAATGGAGCAATGAGAAAACTTGAGATAAGATTTCCTTGGAAATGATGAAGCATGTGACCACATCTCCAAATATTTAACAATTTATTATTGGTTGATTTTTCGTAGAATTACTTATGTAAGTCTCATTCCTCAGAAATCCCTGATTACAATATTAGAAGACGTGACTCACATTGAATAATGTACATACATGTACCGCTATCGATATCCAAATTGACAATTCTTCAGAATGTTTTGAATGTTTTTATAATAATTAATGTATCTTGGTTTTATTTTTTATTTATCGGATTTTTTTATGAAGTTATCATAAATTACAACTTTGTACTCAAGTTAACTCAACTTAGACAGTATTCAGATCAATTTTCTCTCAAATTTTCATAAATTCGTCGTCTTATTTGCTCTGCGTGAAATGTTCTCATTCTGGAATGTTATCCAGAATTCAGCTTTGGATACCCAACCAATTTATAGACACTTTTTCTTATTTCTGATTTATACCACATCTCAAAGCGAAAACCCCAAAATAAATAAATGTCAACTGACAGTAAAGTTTAGCAAACAAACTTTTGTTTCCAAAGGCAACTTGATACTATTTTGTGTTTGTAAAAATTAAAGCTAACGAATTGTGTGCCAAAACTTTCAGGATATACCTACGTTATTCTTTTTCATAGTTTAAATGTCGCCCCCCTGGCCAAAGTTTCCGCTGGTAAATATAAAACCTGTCAAAATCAAAATACTATCCGATCCAGTCAATCTACATGTAGTGAAAGCAAAATTTTTTTAATACTGAAAACCCAAATAGCGTATTTTACAAAAAGTACTACTATTGCGTTGGAAGTCGGATACTGGAATATGGAAGTATCTGTAATCTAATATGTTCCTCAAGGATCTGCAGTAGAGCCATCAATAGTTCAAATAGCTGGATGCAGATTCTGCAAAGATCCATACTAGGGCCACTGTAGGTTTAAGATCAAAATAAATAGGCATATCATATTAAAAAAGTATACATACATATTGTTGGAATGAAGCAAAATATCAAATAATACTGTTAAAATAAGAGAAATGGGGGTAATTATAAAGATGCATCTTACATGCAATTTTTAAAAGTTGAACAGGGCGATTGAAGGTTAAGAGATATCCAAGTAGGTATTCATTGGAAGCTAATTATCAGAATATAGGGTTAATAACCCCGCTAGTTTAGACGAGTTTTTTTGCTCTCCGTCAGTTATAAAATCAATCTGAAAACCTAGCAAAAATACAGCTTATTCTCGCTCTTGCCAATTCACAATCGCCAAATGTACCTATAAATATCAAAAAATTGTGAATGTGCTGTCTAATTTTCGCACCAGCTCAGCGTACTTACATCGCTCTCCGAATTATTCGTCACAAAAACTAAAGCTCGTGCTTTCGCAGTTTATCTTCGTGCGTATATTTTATATAAACGATCCAGAAGACATACCTCAAATCGCAGTCAGTAGAATAATCCATACCATCTAAAAGGTGTCACCACTGAAAACAAACGAACATAGGCGATAGTCAATTGTCGGTCAACGAACACTGCGACTCGCGGCCGTCGATGAGAACAAGTGAAGATCGCGTGGTGGTTCGCGGCGAAACAAGTGACTGACGTCGATCGTGGATGACTAGAGCGAGTGCCACCGACGAATTCTGGAGATGGATCAAAGTGTGCGTTGGCCGCGAACGCGAGCGAGAGGCCAAGCCGGTCGCGGATTGGCCGATCGACGGGGGTGGGGTGGCAGGTGAGAGACAGGTGGCTGAGGCGGGCAGGGGGAGGGAGAGAGACGGAGAAACGCAGCGACGCGCCGGAGTCGATCGGATCGGAAGGAGTAAGATGATTGTGCTTGTTGGGAGTCAAGTTGGATGCGGTGCTTTCTGCTGCGCTTTGACACTCGAGATGGAAGTCGCGTTCAAAGGCAAAGCCTGATTACGGCTAACTAAAAGTTGCGACAAAACGCGTGCAGTTAGACTATTCCAAAGCTTTTGATACGTCAAACCATTACTTATTGTTGGCTAAATGTAGCTTTTGTGAAACTGCACTTAAAATGATGTCTAATTATTCATTAAAACGCACTCTTGTACATTTCCGATCTGGATATCATCACTTTGATTGCTATTATTTTCATCAAGCTCAATATATTTTTTCTTGCTAAAAACCAATTCTCCCCAGTGTTTCTAATAATAATAAATGATTTACGGTGTCGAAATCTTTAATGTATTCGGTTTAGAATGTCAATGATTGCGTCCGATGTAGACTCCCCATATTGATTTGCACTTGAAATTTTGTGAGGTGTACGTAAAAAAGACGTTAATTATTGTTATTATATTGTCCTGAGTTATTGTGGATAAAACTGAGCATATCTTTTATCGCACTTGGCCATGAATTTATAATTAACAACAGATGAAACAATTGCCGGACCTCACATACCGCGGTCAAATAAAAAAAAAACCGATGTCGCGTCATGCCAAAAGGAGACAGTATGCGACCAATAAAGAATTGAAGATTAATAACAATCTAACCATATTTGACGCGGGGCCAGTCGTTCGCCGGTATCTCTAGAATCCTATCTTTTGAATCATAAAGGAAGACAATAGAGGCGTAACAGTTAGTCGGGGTGTCACGTATGTGGTGACAATAAAAAAGTTCTGAGTGCTATATATATAAACAAGACGTTCGGTGAATTGTTAATGGTTGGATGATGAGAACGATCTTTCAGGGTCTACGAACAAGTATTATCGGATGGCACTTCAAAGATCTTCGATTTGGATTTAATGGTGAGCGATGGTGTCCACTTAAGGTCGATTACTAACACATCTTGAAAACTACATCCGCATGGTGGCAGCACAAGTACCGATCTATCAAATCTATCAAGGTGCCAGAAAGCAACGTTGCCAAAACCACCTACGTTTGTGCTGGCAAAAATATTCAGCTGGCCATTGCAGCATTTTTCTATCGTCACCCTTGGATAGAAACACTGCGGGGTCCAGCGCTTGAGACTCGCAGTCAGGTCGAAAATTCTACCTGACCAAGGTCGAAAGTAACAACAAGGACATTATAATTATCATCAAAGTATACTCGTAGATATATACATATATATATTTATTTATTTATTTATATACAGTTTGGGGTGTTAACAGGTAAACCCAACACACACCCTCAGTGAACTAAAACTAAACTTACATAAAATATCGTATACATATACATATATTACATTATTGAATACTTCAATATTAATATTTTTTTATTTTCCGATATATATATATATATATGTATATATGTATATATATAGGTGAAAAATTAAAGCTTCCGCCTTTTGTTGGGTACTTCGACAAAATTTAAGCAAAGAGGACTCTTTATACTTTTTTTAATTCTCTCTAGCTTTCAATGGACTTTGCCATCATCATCAGGAGCTGCAATTACAATGATAACAGTAGCAATAAAAGTGTAAAATGAATTTAAATTGACTCAACTTACAGTAGTATGTGAGGATGTTGCTAATTGTTGTTTACGTATAGGATGAGGGAAACGTCCAGTAACATGGTGAGAGCTGGATACATGGTACAATGTTCAAAATTATATAAAATATGACAAGACAAGTTAAAAACAGATTAAAAATTATTTAAAAAACATTAGAGCATTACGTCGTGAAGCTACTTGATGATTGCACAAAATGGTGGTCATGGAATAATGAGTGAGATGAACCTTTGACAGAAGGCCGAAGGTTGTGAATGTCTGTGTTGAAAGATGGAACGAATTGTGGGCGTGTGCCAAAACGTTGCCAAATCACTTCAGATGATGTGATTTTCAGAATGTTATGTAAGAAATTGTTAAACCGACGTTTCCCTCATCCTATACGTAAACAACAATTAGCAACATCCTCACATACTACTGTAAGTTGAGTCAATTTAAATTCATTTTACACTTTTGTTGCTACTGTTATCATTGTAATTGCAGCTCCTGATGATGATGGCAAAGTCCATTGAAAGCTAGAGAGAATTAAAAAAAGTATAAAGAGTCCTCTTTGCTTAAATTTTGTCGAAGTACCCAACAAAAGGCGGAAGCTTTAATTTTATATATATATATATATATTCCCTCTCCATCTTCGTTTCCTCAGGTTACACCTTTCTTTTTGCGGATTTTGTCCATTACTTTTCTATTTTTTTGTTATATACCTTTCTCCGCATGATCATTTTCTATATATATATATATAATCATCCAGATGCGATCTTGCTATTCAACCAACTTTCATTGCTTCACATCTTCTCAGAGATGAAACTACAGACTGCTCGACCTCACAAAACATATGCAACCAACAATGCGTGTACGAGTAGTTGAGTCATTCCTCCATAGATGGATGCTCACAGCAATCCTAGTGAGCAAACGTAGAATTACTGTTTGTACCCTAGTCTGCATTTTATAGGTTTTTATGACCTTTTATCGGAGGCGAAACTATCGATACTTCTAAATATCGTATCGAACATCCCTTAAACGGAACAGTGGATCTCTCTGTTCGTCACGCCAATCAAAACGAATTTACCCCGAGCAGAAATCACGTCGACGAATCTCGAAAGTAAAAATCTCGTTTTCCATGACATTACAGGAACGTATTAGCGATGCAATTACCCAAATTGACGTATTTAGTCTCGCAAGCCAGTGGAGTCGACTGATGGCAGAGAGAGAGACATCTCTCGTGATGTCGACTCGGCAGTTCTAAATTAGTGTAGACCTCCTTTTCCTGCCTCCATTAGTCGCTCGTTACGTATGCATATTAGACGAGAAATCGGAAATTACACAGAATTACGGATTGGTGTACCTTAAGTCATCTTCACACGGACATGCACTTTTAACTCCTTTATTTTCAAACAAACTAGAAATATAATAATAATGAAAATGCCCAACAGAATTTTTATATACTAAGTGACATATAAATCCGAACACCCAGTTTAAATAGTTTTATTTTTATAAAATTTTGTATAAGTACTTAATGAAGCATAATAAGTAAATGATAAAAATTTCAAAATGATTGCACTGCTTTAAAGCCCTTTGACCTTTAATAATGTGTGGATGCACCCTGATGTGCTACGCATTCTCCAACGCGCCTAGGCATGCTTCTGATCAGGTGGTCAATGTCCTCCTGAGGTATCTCATTCCAGGCAACCACCAACTCCTCTCGAAGTGCTTCTAGAGTCTGAGGAGGACGTTGCAAATTGAGCAATCTCCTACCCATCATATCCCACGCGTGCTCAATTGGGGATAAGTCGGGAGATCTTGGTGGCCATGGTAACAATATGACATCATTATGTTGAAAGAAGTCTATTGTGACTCTTGCAATATGGGGTCGGGCATTATCTTGTTGGAAAGTTGGATCTGCTAGGGTGTCAAGATAGGGTAAAAGATGGGGTTCTAGAACTTCGTGGATATAACGCTGCGCGTTCATGTTACCTCTGATGAAGATTAAAGGTGACCTGGAACCATAAGCTAAAGCACCCCAAACCATAACTCCAACAGTGTGATGAACATGTATTTCAACAAAAAACTGTGGATTCCTCCTTTCACCACGTCGCCTTCTAACCCTGGCACGACCATCGTGCATGCCTAAACAAAATCGAGACTCGTCACTAAAGACAATACTATTCCATTCCTGATCCCAGAGTGACCGTTGTCTGCACCACTCAAGGCGATTACGTTGGTGTTCTCGAGTTAAAGGGAGGACCCAGTGTGGCCGGTATGAAAACAAGCCAAAACTTCTCATTCGTCGGTAAACACTTCGCATGTAAAAAGGTCTTCCGTGTTCTGCAAACCATTCATTTGCAATGGACCTGGTAGTGGAGAAACGTTCCCTTAAGGCCAATAATCTTAGGCGGCGATCTTCACGGTCTGTTGTTCTACGGCGGCGTCCAGTGCCCCTTGCTCTTTGCGTACGGCCTTCTCGAAGCCATGCCCGACAACACCTAACCACAGTGTCTACACTTCTTTGCACTCTAACTGCAATTGCCCGAAAAGAAAGTCCAGCTTCCCGAAGTCCCACTATACGGCCCCTATCAAACTCACTAAGTTGACGAAATCGTACAGGTCTCCGTACTCTAGGCATCGTAACCGATCGTAAAGGATGTCAAGAACCAAAATCCGCCACCGTTGATTCTTTACTGCGGCTGAAATATTCATTTTTAGAGCGTTAGTGAATTAAAAAAAAGCAGTATAAAAACCGGAATGTCCAACTGATAAGGCTGAAAACTTTTTCACTTGTTCTTTACAGTAAGATTAATACATTCACCAACTTTTATTAAAATAAAACCATTTAAACTGGGTGTTCGGATTTATATATCACTTAGTATATAAGAATTTTTATAGTTCCATTTCCAATTAAAATGTGGCATATCAAAAAAACAAACACTAATTTGTTCAAATTTAATAGAAAACAAGCAGTGAAACTGACGAATGCGTTTAAACAATATTGAATGTATCTTCGAAAAAGATGACTAAAAAAATATTTGATGTCAGAAAACAATATTTCAGTTTAAAAATGGACGTCGAGTAGTCCAGATCTATCGCCGATTGAAACCTTGTAGCATATCATGAAGAAAAAGCTCTCCGTTGCGGAATTGCAGTTTTTTTGAATTCGTAATATATTTTTTCTTTGTCACAAAAAATGTAGTATATTAGGCTAATATTAAATAA